TCCTGGAGCCGCCGGCCGGGGCCGCTCGCCGCACTCAGCGCCGGAGCCGGGAGCCCGCGGCCGCCGCCATGTCCCACCAGACCGGCATCCAAGGTAACGGCGCCCGGCGCGGCCCGCGGGGAAGGGACCCCCGGGAGGCCTCGGACGGGCCGTAGGGCGGGAGGGCCGGAATCCGGCCGCGAGCGCGGGGCGTCGGTCACGCGGGACGAGCCGGCCTTTCCGGCTCCCGCTCCCCGGGCGCTCCCGGCCTGCGGCCCCCTGGGCCCAGGCCCGGCCGCCGCCACGTCGCAGGCGGACCCGAGATTCGGGGGAGCGGAGGGAACCGGCCTCGGTGGCGGCCGGGACGGAGGGGGCGTGCCCTCCGGCGCGCTGACGGGAGCCCGGCTTTCCCCCTTTGGATGAGGCGGGAAGAGCTGGGGCCGGGGAGGCCGCTGGGGCTCCCTTCGCCGTCGAGGGTCGAGCGGGTTTTCCTTTCCTCTGTCCAAAGGAGAATGTTACAGGACTGTGATGACAAAAAGAAGCATGCCTGATTCTTCCCACATCCGTAGGGCTCCCGAGATGGAAACGTGAATTACGTTCCGAGAAATCCCGGGTACGGGTGTGTTTTGATCTGTTCGCTCAGGTACTTCCCAGGGGAGCCGAAAAGTCTGGTCTGTGAGGTTGCATTTAACCATCCCGTGCAGACAGTTGAATGTACAATTATATCTGGCCTCCATTACTTCACGGTTTGGAAATGGGGAGCCTGGAAGCGGTCACTTCATCAGAATCAAATAATATATCCCGGGGTTATTCGCGATTACTTAACGAGTTCCAGTATAAACCCAAGCTCTTCCTGTTAATAGACAATGCATCTTTCCCCCGATGAACACTTAATTGTGTGTTTTGTTCTTAAGGGTCTTTGACACCACCCCAGATACTCTCCTGCACGCACACACGAGCAAAATAAGTCTCAGATTTAAAAACATCGTTATATTTGTCCGCATTAATTTTGATATTTAAAAGTAATTGACTTTCATGCTTGAGCCTCACACCAAACACTACTTAAATAGTGGTTCTTGCTAATAGCACAGAAACGAAATTGGAACCAAATTGAAGCTTTGATAGGAATACAAGGGTTAGGTTATTAAAATAAATATCTGCTCATTGAGTTTACTTTAGCTTTTTGAGAGATGCAAGTTAGAAAATATAACCAAAAATATAAGGTTGCATTTTATTCTGTTTTTTTAAAACCAGGATAAGCCGGGCTCGGTGTCTCAGCCTGTAATCCCGTGCCTTTGGGAGGCTGAGATGAGTGGATTGCCTGAGCCCGTGGGTTCGAGACCTGCCTGGGCAAGTTGGTGAGACCTCATCTCTACAATAAATTAAAAATTAGCCGGGTGTGGTAGCGCGCGCCTGTAGTTACAGCTACTTGTGGAAGGCTGAGGCGGCAGGATCGCCGGAGCCCAGCAGGTCGAGGGAGGGGCCACTGCACTCCAGTCTGGGGGACAGAGTGAGACTCCAACTCAAAAAAAAACCAGGATAAGATATCTGATACTTACTGTTGTTTTTAATGGAAAAATACAGAAAATGAATTGATGAAGGCAGTGTCTTTCTCATAAGCTTGAAACCGAACTAGGAAAGAATGAAGCAAGTTTTCATCGTTTTTCAAACAAGCAATACAAGTGTTTTTCAAAATTGTAATTTGCCCATTATTGGGTTTGAGTAACTTCAATATATTCACTCCAGTATTATTTCTGCTACAGAATTGTCTAGCTAAAACAGATTAGAATTATTATTGACACACTTAGATGTATAATAATACTTCTTTAATGGTATAAATTGTTCACTATCCTATGCCTTTAAATTTTTTAATACTGATAATGAGAGGATACTGCATACTGCAGCTTTTTTCTTTGTATTCTAATTCATTGTTTCTCACATAGGTAGCAAAATAAAGTATTCAAACATAAGTATGAAAGGTTTACATTTCTTTATCTTTTTCCACAGCAAGTGAAGATGTTAAAGAGATCTTTGCTAGAGCCAGAAATGGAAAGTACAGACTTCTGAAAATCTCTATTGAAAATGGTTAGTTAAATGTTTTAAAATATTGTTTGTCCCTGGATTGTGTGTTATACTTTTAAACTTCTAAATGTTGTCAGTGGTTTCAACTATTCATGAATGTTGAAACAAGTTCAAAGCTTGCCTTAAGGTAACTTGGATTCCTCACATTTTGTGCAGTTCCCAAAAGGCCACTATTTTCCTTCCAAACTCTGGCTGTTAGGGAAACACAAAGATGTTTTTTGGTGTGACTTACTTCTCTTTTTCATTTTGTGTCTCAGTTTCTGCACCACAACCATTTCTAATGTCAGTTCTTCCATCTCTGAAATGGAAGTCAGTAAACTAGTGATTATCGGAAAGCAAGTAACTTATCAACTATTTTTCAGTAAAGTTTGTTTTAACATAGAAACAAAGGGTTTCAAACTGCCATTTTCACCACTTGATTGCATCCTATGGTGCAGAAATTATGACTGCCTTTTCTTGTTTTGGGAAAGTTCTTTCTGATCATGTAACAAACCATAAATTGATTTTTAAGAAATAATTCTGTAAGCCAAATTTAGGCAGATTTGAATTTGAACAAGTGCTATTATAACTACTCAATCACAAATGAATGTGTTAAAATATGCCTCAATTGACCTAATTTCTTAAATATCAAATATTTTTGCTTTAGAAAAAAGTGTTTTTTCATAAACTGGAAGTATTCTAATTTGTTTTCCACTTTCTATTTATATATTAAAAATACCAGAGTAGCTTATAAAATTTGTGCCTGTTTTATATATATATTACAACATTCAACAAGAATAAATATACTGTAAAATAGCATATTTTAGAAATATTGAGTTAAAACTTTAAATTCCATCACTTTGTAACAAGTTAAGTAACTAAGATGGAAAAATTAACTAGCATTTCTACAAAACAAAAATGCTACTATTTATTTTCTTTTTGTTTTTATGAGTCGGAGTGTCACCCTGTCATCTAAGCGGGAGTGCAATAGCACTCTCACGGCCACTGCAGCCTCAACCTGCTAGGCTCAGGTGATCATTCTGTCTCAGCCTTCCAAGTAGCTGGAACCATAGGCATACACCCATACGCCTGACTAATTTTTTGATTTATTACAGAAACAAGGTCTCGCCAAGTGAACCCCTGTTCTCAGACAATCCTCTCACCTCTGCAGCCCAAAGTACTGGGATTACAGGCATGAGCCATCATGCCCAGCTATTTCTTAAATTATTATTTTTTGGCTTTACTTTTTATTTTACAAAACTTTTAAATGGGGAAATTCCAAAGAATACAGTAATATCATAAATATTCCAAATAATACATTCATATAAAATATCATAAATGAATAACTGCTAACATTTTACCATATTAACTTAAGCATTTTTAAACATTTAGTATTTTCTGAGTTAAGAGCATCCCCTTTAAATAATATCACATCTTGACCACCTTCACCTGAGGCACCTATAGTTAAAAGTTTTTATATTTGTGCAATCTGTTTTTTTACGTGTATCTCTAAATAGCATATGGCACTTCTTGGGTTTTTAAGTTCACATAAACTGCATGATGCTATCTTATTCTGCATCTTTTCTTTTTTCTGTAAATGTTACTTTTGTAAATAGTTTGGATAGAGAGCTCATTAATTGTTTTCAAGTATGAATAGAACATATGACTATGCTACGTATTATTTGTCCATTCTCTTATTGATGAACATTGAGGCTGTTTCTAGTTTTACTGTTATTGTATAGTGCTGTAGTAAACACCTTTGTACTTACATGCAAGAGATTCTCTATGCAGAGTACATCACAATTTTACCTGATTCTGCCAAATAATGCTTCAAGGTGGCCATACCACTTTATGCATCTAGGCAGATTTTAAAATCTGTAGCATTATAACCATATAGGAGCTAAACTTGGTTTCATTTAATATTTGTCTTGTACATTTCAATTAATTTCAGAAATTATATTTTTGAGTGGTAGTACAGTTATTTAAGTATATTTTGTTGACAATTTATAGCTCAGACATTTTGGAAAATAAAAATATAATCACCTCTTATTTGATTATTCAACTTAACTATTATGATTTTTTTTTACGTTTCTTGGCTGTGTATATATGTGTGTGTGTGTGTGTGTGTATAAATTTTAATCATGCTATTCTTAAGATCTTATCTTTTTATAATACTTTAGTTTGTAATTATTTTCTATATTGCCACCTTTTTCCTTTCAACTTTTTGATGTGAATAATAGTAGTTGGGAAATGACTATATTTCTCTAGTCTTCATCACATTACCACTTGGTATTTCAAACCATTTACCTTTTATCTTTTTAAAAATTATTTTTCATAGAGCAACTTGTGATTGGATCATGTAGTCAGCCTTCAGATTCCTGGGATAAAGATTATGATTCTTTTGTCTTACCCCTGTTGGAGGACAAACAGCCATGCTATATATTATTCAGGTTAGATTCCCAGAATGCCCAGGGATATGAATGGATATTCATTGCATGGTCTCCAGATCATTCTCATGTAAGTAATTTTTTTTTAATTTGTTTAACATTAAATGCTAGGAAGATTTCAAAATAAAATATTTCTAGGCCACATGAAGTAAGAATCAATAGTCATTTCCCATACAGGAGAATGCTCATTGGGAAAATCTTTGGATTGATAATTGTTGGAATTAAGCATGTTTAGATTCAGAAATTTTGCTCTTGAAATAAAAAATACTTATTGTTAATTTAAAATCTGTGACAACTGTAAATGACTCCATGGGCCTCTGAAGAATAAAGCTAACCACTTGGTTCTAAGAGTAATGATTGTAATAATTCTGAGAATTAATTGAAGATTATATTAACTTTTGTTAGTGTTTATCATATATTATTAATCACTACCATTTAAGTGATGGTAATGCATACAAACAAGTATTTATTTTAGGAAAGTGGGTAGTAGACTAAATAAAACAGAAAAAATTAGTATGTGGATACTAACCAATGTTTTAAAAATTAATCTTCATATTTCTTGTAAAAAGTTAATAATTTTTAGTTATCTAGTTGTTGTTCTCGAAAATCATTATATCCTCTTTAATTCCACACATCCTGTCTGAAAGAAATATTGCATTTAGCCATGCAAGATTATGAAATTATTTCTGTTAGTTGGTTATCTTTTGTAGTTTTCTGTAGATACTAGTAAACTCTTTAATAATTATATATATTGTGTTTTATTCATCCTTGTGTCCCTCACAGAATGGTATATGCCCTAGGAAAGCTGTGAATGTTTGATTCTTAACAATTATAATACCTGATCTAGCTTTGAGAAAAATGTCACTACGAAGGTTACTTTGTGTTACTTTCAGTGTTTTTTCCTCATGTTTTAAAGTAGCTTTTAAAGTAGTTTTTTATTCCTGAACTTATTTTGCACTTTGAAAAATTCAGAATTTTTAAAAATTCATATTTTTTCAACTTAAAACAAAAGTGACTTATAATTTTTGAAATCTGCCTTAATAGCCACTGATAGTTTACATGGTTATTTGTACACATATCCTTTAGTATATTATAGTCAATGGGCTTTAGCTTTATCACATTTCATGTTATTTTTAGTATACGTAAAGATTTTTATACCTTCAGAATGTGCTTTCTGTTGTAATGTTATCTTTAAATCTATAAACGGCTAAGTAAACTTTTACAACTGAATAGGTTCGTCAAAAAATGTTGTATGCAGCAACAAGAGCAACTCTGAAAAAAGAGTTTGGAGGTGGCCACATTAAAGATGAAGTATTTGGAACAGCAAAGGTACAAAACATATTTTTATGTGGATTCTATACATTGCAATTAAAATGATTAAAGAAGAACTCCTAGGTAATTGATACGAATTCAGAGGGATGAATCTGTAAACATAAGAATTAAGTAAGAGGAATATTATGGTTCATAAGAGATATAATATTTTTGAACAAATTTGTGTTGGTTTACAACTTTTCTGATTCAGAAATTAATATAATTTAGTGGATAGAGTACAAGACTAGATGGGAAATGTTGCTTGTTCTCTAATTTTGAGGTGGGCTGGTTTCATAATTCTTTGAGTCTCAATCTTCAAAACCACAAAATCTTGATGATAAGTAGACTCCTTTGGAGTATTTTTTATTTTGATATAAAAACTAATTATTTTGTATGCATAATTATAGCAAAACTATATAAAACATTATAACAGAATTTAGAATCGAAATATGTTGATTATTAAATAATTATAGGCAATTTTCAGCAGAAGGTTAATTACAATTGCCTGTAGACTTGAAACTTGACCAGGTTCATTATGTCACTGGCATCACCACCACCAAACTCTTACAAAATATTTAGTAATTATAAAACTTCAGGAAATGAAGAGTAGCTACTCTCTTAAAAAGTTTTGAAACCTTTAAAATAGAGTATTAAAGAAAAGTAAAAAGAGAGTACAATTCTTAATGATATTTTCACTTAAAATCTTTTCTTTGGGAGGCTGAGGTGAGTGGATTGCCTGAGCCCGCGGGTTCGAGACCCGCCTGGGCAGCGAGACCTCATCTCTACAATAAATCAAAAAATCAGCCTGGCGTGGTAGTGCGTGCCTGTAATTCTGGCTACTTGGAAGGCTGAGGCGGAAGGATCACCGGAGCCCAGCAGGCGAGGCTGCGGTGGCTGTGAGCGTGCCACTCCACTCCAGTCTGGGTGACCGAGTGAGACTCCAGCTCAAAAAAAAAAAAAAATGTTTTCTGTTAAATTCATGATTTTGTTTTTCTTAAAGTAACCTTACTCTGGTTTTACTTGTAGAGAATTACTGATAATAGTCCATTTCTGTACTTACAGGAAGATGTATCATTACATGGATATAAAAAATATTTGCTGTCACAATCTTCCCCTGCTCCACTGACTGCAGCTGAGGAAGAATTACGACAGATTAAAATTAATGAGGTAAGTTACAACTCTGAAACCCTTACAAGATATTAAGTATTTGAAAATACCATATTTTTAATTAGTAGTTGTGGAGGTAACTAGAAAATAAATAAATCATGTAGCTTAGGTTTATTCTGTTTAGTTTAGAGATAAAGCTACGTGCTTAATGTGTTTTTAGAAAAAAAAAGTTTAAAATGAATATTGGCCCTTTGTTCTTGGATGTCCCCTCTGAGGAGACATTATAAATCTAGCAACCTACTTGGATGTCATCTCGCAGGGGACATAAAAAGATTGCTGGTGATTATACAGGACAAATAGTTTGCAGGCACATATTTTTTTAAAAAAATACATGCTTCCTTGAAGTTTTCCATTCAAAACAAAAAAACTTATGTCCCATTTGAAATTTGTCAAGCTTCTGATCAATCAGTTGAGAAGTGGTTTTCATAAATCATGAGTGCTTCCTTCCATGCCATCTTCAAACAACAGACTGGACAATAAATTACATAACATTAATGTTGGTGGAAGAAAACAAGACTGCATTGTCTGCCGAACAGAAAAATACCAGGTAGAAGACGTCAAACAAATTACCATTGTACAACACGTGTCAATGAACCTGCGATGCACGTTGGTAATTGTTTCACGTTACTGCACGTTGGTAATTGTTTCACGTTACTACACGTAAGAAAAATGTAAACAATTTTGATGTTTTTGTCATAAATAAGTTCCTTAAAGTTCAAAATTCCATTATAAGACAAATATCATTACAATAAAATAATTGGTTCTCTGCTATACTCTTTGATGAAAGTGATTCGTTTTTCACTAGTAAAAATGCAGTCAAGTTGCTGGTTGGTGATCTGCGAGATGTCTCCAAGAGCAAGGGTTAAACTTCACTCAGTTTTATAAATAGCTTTCTCTTGTAACTTTTATCAGAATAGTAAATCTTCCTCTTGCAAGTACAGCTGTTAACTGTACTTTAATGATATACAAATAAGAAAATGTGTGTTATCCATTTAGTGAAAATAATATATTTATTAAGGTTGTTTGAAGCAGGTTATTTTTTATTATGTAGAATAATGACGACTAAAGAGAATAAAATACTGATGCCAGAGAATGTTTATAATTTCTAGAATGTCTACAGATTAATTTCTATGAACACCATTTGGGTGGAGAAGTGTATGCAAGATTGTTAATTTGAGTACTTGTTGAGTCAACAAATTTCAGCCATATTATAGTTTATCATATTTTTAATGTGTTTTCTGTAGCCATTTTAATTATATGCTGGAATACCTACGGCATTTCTACTGGGATTTTCCAGAAGAGAACAAGTAGCCAAAATCACTATTCACTAGGCTGTATAATAGATTAGTAGGAATAGTGTGGAAAATGGTTGAATATCATTTAATATTAAACTAGTAGCAAGGACTTATTAGATTATTTTAATTCAAGTTATTTGACTAGGGCTTTTTATGTGATTTTTTTTTTTACAAGTTTGATAGTTTGTTTTATTCCTTGCAATCAGAACCCAGAGGATCGTATTGGGGTATGCATTTGCATATGTTCTATGATGTTTTCATTATCCAGTATCATTTATGCTGTAGAATCTCCATTCATTTTTTTTTTTAAGTAAAATTTCTATTGGACTTTCTGTTGCAACACTGCAAATGAGGACCCTATACTAGCTATCATTTATCAAGTATAAAAATCTTAAACGTGCATTGAATGCTTTCTTAAAATATCCTTCTCTTCCAATACATGCACACCCATGTTCTTAGTAAAGAAAGCTCTAAGTCTGGAACTTCTGCAGTAATATTACTTGTTGAGCTGTGTCGTGTCTTTGTATACTGTTTGTACTCCTTTCAATTCAGTGCATGTTGTTTGTATTTTATGTCCAGCAGAACAAAGCAAAGTTCTGTACATATTGTATGTATATTACTGTTTCTAAATCCTGTCAAGTTAAATTTTATAATGAAAGCTATAATCTGATGACACTTAATGAGCTTAAGTAGTTCGTTGACATTGTGCCAAACTACCCATATAAATAAGCAAAACTCCCAAAGCCCCACTAACACTGCACATGTATTCAAACATTCACTTCCAACATTTTCATAAAACGTGTCATGCACTCTGCATGTTGATAAAGTGCTAGCAGGACCATGAACAAATGTGAAAAATAATTTGCTTTTAAAGTTCATAGTGTTTTAAGTATTAATTTTAATTATAGGTTGGGCAAGGGTTGAATGATTCTTACTATTTTATAGAAATTGGGTTTTCATATTTTTGCTATGTGATGTGCCACATTCTAAAACTTTATCAGTAAATTAAATCTGTCATACTTAGGTTCAAACTGACGTGGGTGTGGACACTAAGCATCAAACACTACAAGGAGTAGCATTTCCTATTTCTCGAGAAGCTTTTCAGGCCTTGGAAAAATTGAATAAAAGACAGCTCAATTATGTGCAATTGGTAAGAGATATGTAATGATTATTAAGAAATGACTGCCCAAGCCGGGCTCGGTGGCTCAGCCTGTAATCCCGCGCCTTTGGGAGGCTGAGGTGAGTGGATTGCCTGAGCCCCCGCCTCATCTCTACAATAAATCAAAAAATCAGCCGGGCGTGGTAGCGCATGCCTGTAATTCCAGCTACTTGGAAGGCTGAGGCGGAAGGATCACCGGAGCCCAGCAGGCGAGGCAGCGGTGGCCGGGAGCAGCCACTGCACTCCGGTCTGGGCGACAGAGTGAGACTTCAAATCAAAAAAAAAAAAAAGAAATGGCTGCCTGTTTTGACAACTTATGGCTTATATAAGGTTTATTTTTAGTGGATTAAAGTTTTTAAATTTGCTTCTTGGTGTTTTTAATTCATTTTTTAAAATGAGAAAAGTAGTATATATTATTATGAAAAAACTGAGAACTATGTAAGCTTCCCCTTTCTCTTATTAGTTTTTTATTATAAAATTTTAACTTAATTTTTTGTATCTGTTTTAATTAATATATTTTGTTTCTTGTTGACAGGAAATAGATATAAAAAATGAAATTATAATTTTGGCCAGCACAACAAATACAGAACTAAAAGATTTGCCAAAGAGGATTCCCAAGGATTCAGCACGTTATCATTTCTTTCTGTATAAACATTCCCATGAAGGAGACTATTTAGAGTCTATAGGTATATGAAATATTGTTGTTAACATGTTACTTTCAGTCTGCCTATTGCTATTTTTATTTCTTGCCCACAGGTCTTAGCTGTAGTTTTATGAGGCTTATGTACTTGCTGTAATTGATATGCTAATTGTGTTTGTTGTTATTTTAACTTTTAACTTGCAGTTTTTATTTATTCAATGCCTGGATACACATGCAGTATAAGAGAACGAATGCTGTATTCTAGCTGCAAGAGCCCTCTGCTAGAAATTGTAGAAAGACAACTACAAATGGATGTAATTAGAAAGGTAAGGCCTACCTATTTTAAAATCTTTTTTTTTGCTAGATTTTTCTTGTCATTTCCACTTAGCTCATGATGTACTGTGATTTATAAACTCAAATTTCTATTTTTCTTGTCATCCTAAATCCTTAGGTTCTTCTCTGCTCTAAGTGTCTGGGGCTGCCTTGTCATGATCCCCATCTCCTTTTGATCTGTACTTTAATAAGCCACATATAGCTATTTAACTTAAATACAAATTTTAATAAAATTTAAAATTCAGTTTCTTAATCTTTTTTTTTTTTTTTTGAGTTGGAGTCTCACTCTGTCGCCCAGACTGGAGTGCAGTGGCTGCTCCCAGCCACCGCAGCCTCGCTTGCTGGGCTCTGGCGATCTTTCCACCTCAGCCTTCCGAGTAGCCGGAATTACAGGCATGCGCTACCACACCCGGCTGATTTTTTGATTTATTGTAGAGATGAGGTCTCACTGCCCAGGCGGGTCTTGAACCCGCGGGCTCAGGCAATCCACTCACCTCAGCCTCTCAAAGGCGCGGAATTACAGGCTGAGCCACTTAGCCCAGCTAGTTTCTTAATCTTACCAGACACATGTCAAATGCTCATTAGCCACGTGTGGTGAGTGGCTACTGTGTTGGATTATGAAGAATTTATAGAGCATTTCCATCAGTACATAAAGTCCTATTGGATAGTGCTGTTAGAGTTATGTATTTATGATTGTTTCTGAATTCCTTATTAGTCAGGAACTAGTCCCCATTTATGACTATGAATCATGGCATGGCTGGGATTCTTTGCGTTTCTTAGAGAAGAACAGAACAAACATAAACATTTGAATGTAGGGACCCTAAACTATCTATTTTCTTAAATTCTGTTTTTTTAAATGCAAATAAGATATGGGGAAAGACAAGATTTATTTTTGAGTCTTTTAACTCTTAAAACACAAGTCCTGAAAAACTACCACGTGTTAGGTACTGAACCATTCATGCTTTTTAAGATTCTAAAAAAATCACTTTAGCATAGGTAGCACAGGAGCAGCTGACTTTTTCTACAGGAGTCAGCTGACTTTTTCTACAGAGCACCAAATAGCAACATTTTAGGCTTTGCCTGGTCACATATGACTTCTGTCACATATTCTTATTGTTGTTGTTTTGTAACAACTCTTTAAAAATGTAAAACAGACTGGGCAAGATTTGGCCTGCAGGCCATAATTTAATGCTTTCTATTCTAGACAGATTTCAAGTGACCCAGGGAATGAAATGACCAGGAGTAATGTTTCCTGAATAAACAGTGTACCAAAGCAACTTGAGATTGTAGTAGTGGCTTCTACTTTTAAACATTATTTAAGTTGGAGCAGTAAGAGGGAACAAAATAGGAAGTAATTATAGCTGATTCAAGTAACTCATTTGGCTCCTTCCCCCAGCAGAAGAAAATGAGATAATTACATATGGTCCTTGACTCTGTCTTGCTGGAATCGATATTATGCATTTATTTGTGAGCAGTCATACCCCAAAACTAGCTTGTTGCTTATACTGGGTTTCAAATGTTGTGCTTGTTTCATATTGTATCACATTTCTTTTACAGATCGAGATAGACAATGGGGATGAATTGACTGCTGACTTCCTTTATGAAGAAGTACATCCCAAGCAGCATGCACATAAGCAAAGTTTTGCAAAACCAAAAGGTCCTGCAGGAAAAAGAGGAATTCGAAGACTAATTAGGGGTCCAGCTGAAACTGAAGCTACTACTGATTAAAATCATTATGTTAAACATTGTCAATACTAGTTTTTTAAAAGTCCAGGTTTTAGTACAGGAGAACTGAAATCATTCCATGTTGATATATATAGTAGGGGGAAAATTGTACTTTTGGAAATAGCACTTTTCACTGTGTGTTTTTAAAATTAATGTTATGGAAGCTCATGATTTCTATTTTTGAGTTAAAGCTAGCAAATGGTTCAACATAATAATGTTTAATTTTGTCACACTGTTTTCATAGTATTGATTCTACACTTTCACATAATTCTTAAAATTTTATACAGTTGAGCCAGTTCCAGAAAGTCTAATGTCTCAAAGTAGGAAACACTTCTTATTACTTTTTAGTGAGACAGAAAGACCTTAAAATATTCATACTATTTAATGAATATGTTAAGGACGAGGTTAGGATACTTTCTAAGCTGAAAATGTAGTGCACCTGGGAAAAGGTAGGACGTTGCTTACTCTGAGGAGCTGTGCTAACTCTGTCAGACTGTGGGATCTTGTCTGCAACCTTAGAAAAGTGCTTTATTGCAGCAGTCTTTTTCTATTTCACTTTTTGTTTTTTTAATGGCATTGAAATTTCAGAAGATCACCTCACTCTGAAACTGTAAAGGTACCAGATATTTTCTATACTGCAGGATTTCTGATGAGATTGAAAGACTTTAACGCCTTAGTAGGTTCCCTTTCTAGTGCTTTAAAACATTTCATTTCCAAAAGAAGTCATTTCATTCTAATTACTGTGTAGCCAAATATCTATGTTCAGATTGAAGTTTAATATTATTTAAACGGAATCAAAACTAAACTAAAAAATGTTGAAAATGTTTTAAAATCAAGATTGGCTTTTTTCTCCAAAACCATCTATGTATAGGCAAATTGTATTCCTTATTCCTTACCACTTTGAAGCAAATATTCAGATTTAAAATTGTTTTGAAGTCCTAGTACTTACCAGGCTAACACAGATAAGCACATATGAATCTCATTTCAATTAATATCTTATTTCAGAGCTCATTTAACTGTTTTCTAATGCTTTTCATTTTCAGTTACAACCTAGAGAGGTTTTGAGCCTATTTCATTGATACTTGAAATCGAGGGAGTTAGAACACTTCATGTTTAATCTGTTAAATCTGCTGCAAGAGCCATAATTTGAAGTGTTTTCTAAATGAACTGTGGGGATCCAGGATTTATAATTTCTTGATCTAAACCTTATGCTGCATAAATCAAATATCAGAAATGCACATTTCATAGTATGAAGCACTCATTTCTAAACCTTATTATCTAAGGTAATATATGCACCTTTCAGAAATTTGTGTTCAAGTAAGTAAAGCATATTAGAATAATAATGGGTTGACAGATTTTTAAAATAGAATTTAGAGTATTTGTGTGGGGTTTTGTTGTTTACAAATAATCAGACTATAATATTTAAACATGCAAAATAATTGACAATGTTGCACTTGTTTACTAAAGATACACTTTAAGTTTTCCAAGGGTGCACACGTAGATGGACACACATACACACAACTTATTGCAATAAGAATCCTGGAGCTACCTGGCAGACCATAACTGAAGCTGTTATTTTCAGTCAGGAAGACTGCCTGTCATGAAGGTATAAAATAATTCAGTAGTGAATGTTTTTCTGTAACATCCATGTGCAATTATATCTAAATTCCACTACACTACATTAAAGTAAATGGACATTCCAGAATATAGATGTGATTATATAGTCTTAAACTAATTATTAAACCAATGATTGCTGAAAATCAGTGATACATTAGTTATAGAGTATAACTCATCGTTTACAGTATGTTTTAGGTGGCATTATAACTAGATGGTGAATAACATTACCAATAAATTTATATAGCAATGAAGAATTACATGCCTTCTGTGGACATTTTATAAGTGCATTTTATATCACAATAAAATTTTTTTCTCTTAAGTTGTGTATGTTCTAAATTGGTTTTCTACTATAATCTTTTAAGTGTTTGGGCAATTTGCATAATTCAATATCCAGTGATAGGTCAGAAATCCCATTCATTTATTCATTTGTTAGTTTGCCTAAGTCTAAAAAAGGATTTTAAGTGACTTGAAACCTAGGCAAGACTAGTGGCAATAGAGTGCCTACTTTGGATAGAGAAATTTGCCACGGTTGTAGCAATAATGAAAATGCCATGAATTATTCAGTTCCTTACAAGTAAGGAAGTACTTATATTATAGAAGTACCCCAATTTACTTGACTTGGATTTTGATACAGTATGCCCTGGTGGGCCCAGGAGTCAAGTAAAAATGAAAACTAGAAAAATCTAATTGTCTTCAGATGGATGATATTTGAAACTCTACAACTGGACAAGATAAATATGTCTAGAGAAACGAGATAAGTATGTAGGATAGAATCATCAGTGTTAACAGTGTAGGAAGGAGAAAAGCATTCAGAAAGAATAGAGAAGTAGAAAATCAGGAAGCCAAGAAAAAAACTTCAGAATCGTACCTACACAAAGTGAAACCAGGTGACTTGCTTTCACTGGGAGTGGATGGGGTAATTCAGATCTAACCTCCTGAGGCATCATTTCTCCTGTTTGAAGGCATCATAGCACTAAGTAAAAAAATACTGTATTGGACCAAGATCTGGGAGAAGATAAAAATAAAGAAATGAACCCAGCAACTGGGAGCCACTATTTCCATGGGGGCAACTGCCAGCTCTAGAAGAAGCTGTGAGCAGGCAAACACATTGTTGGTCTGTTTGCTGTATCGTATGTTAATTTCATGTTTAACGTTTTGAGGAACTACCAAACTTTTCTATAGCAGCTGTACCATTTATATTCCCATCAGCAAGCACAAGAGTTCTGATTTCTCCACATCTTCACCAACACTTTTGTTATTTTTTAATTTATTACAGACATCCTAATGAGTGTAAAGAGGTATCTCATTGTGGTTTTGATTTACATTTCTCTTAAGACTAATGATGTTGAACATCATTTTGTGTGCTTATTGACCATATCTTCCTTTGAGAAATTTCTGTTCAGATCCTTAAACTACTTTTTAATTGGATTATTTGTTATGTTTATTTTTGAGTTTGTGAGAGTGCTTTATAGTAGATTCTTGTCACACATGTGATTTATTAATATACCATTCTGTGAACTTTTTATTTTCTTGATGCTCTTTAACATGTAACATTTTAAATCAAGTCTAGCTTGTTCCCCTCCCCCTGCATCAACATCATCATTATTGTTATTTGGTTGCCTGTGCTTTTAGTGTCATATCTAAGAAGCTGTTTCTTAACCTAAGGTAAGTATGGGAAATCATCACAGGATAACCATGTATCTGTTTTCATTTTCTATTGCTGCATAATAATTACCACAAACTTAGTGCTTAGGGCAACCCATTTATTATCTCATAGTTGCAAACGTCAGAAGTCCTGGCACAGCTCAGATTGGCTCTTATACTGAGGGTCTCACAAAGCTGAAATCTAGGTGTCAGTTGGGCCGTGGATATCACCCAAAGTATTCTTCTAAGTCCATTCAGGTTGTTAGCAGAATTCAGTGGTTGTCCCACTGAGGTCCTATTTGTTTTTCCTGCTGGCTGACAGCTGGAGGGTAGCTCTCATCTGAAGACTACCCTTCAGTTTTAGCCAATGTGGCCCCCTTACAACATGGTACTTACTTCAAGGTCTGCAGAAGAATCTCTCCACCTTCTTGTAAGAGTTCACCTGATTGAGTCAGGCCTATTCCACAGACTCCCTTTTGATAGTCAGTAGATTAGGGACCTTAATTGTATCTGCAACATTCCTTGAACAATCTACAATGACCCTATCATCTTGAGAGTATCATCAGGGGATATTGGTTTGTGATGAATTATTGCTTAAAATAGCATACTGTAAACATGATCCCATATACATATGACTATAATAGGATTTTATAATTACCTCTCTAAACTAAATTTTATATCACTTTACAATTTCCAAAGTGCTTGTATATATATTCTGCATTATGTACTTTTTCATGACTACCTCTCAGGTACAACAGATATTAGTCCAAAGTTATAGGTGACAAATCCAAGGCTCACAGCAGCTAAAAGTTTGCCCAAAGCTTTACAGAAAATTAGTGGTGGGGTCAGCAGAGCTTCAAATCATGGTCTTTGCACCCTGTAGCCTAGTACTCTTTTTGCTAATTCTGTAGTTTTCAAACTGTTTAAGTTCAAAGAAGATGTCTCAGGGATTAATGCAAGAACTGAGGATGATACTAAGTAGGTAGGGCTAAGTATTGATAGGGTGGTTCTACTTTTATATGTTCTATACGTGAGAGATTTGACTCATGCTTTAATAATCACTGCGCTATACTAGCCTGCTTTGTTAAAGGTAAAGAAGAATGTTTAGAAAAGAATTCGTTTAAAAAATGGCTTAGATAGCTATACATAAAAAGTCAAGAGTCTATTCCAAAGTTTTAAGAAGCTGTAATCTCTTGCAGCAGCTGTTGAACCTTTTAATAAGAAAGAATAAACAAAGGATAACATTACACATTTGCTTTAAAATGTATACTTGGGGAAAAAAAAAGACAAACCCTATCCCCTTCACAGTAAGTAAAAGTATAAACTTAATACCTTCTTTATGTCTGGTCTCTTATTTTTTTTTTCATGCAGACATTGACTAGCAACAGAGTACATAGCTTCAACTGAAGTGGAATCAGCATCAGTCATCTTCATATCAATATAATCTTCAATTGTTTTCTCTTCATCTTCAATTTCCTCTTTAATATCTAGCTTTAAAATGAGTGTTAAAACTTTTTTAAAAGCTTAGAATAAAATAAAAATAAATTAGAAATTAAATTTTAATTATTTAAATTCATCTATTTTGTACTAATATGTACTCTTACCTTACTATCTTCTTTTATAACCTTATTAAGAATTGAAGTAATACAGGGCAAATCCGAAATAAATAAATACAATCATGTGCTGCAAAATGATGTTTTGGTCAATGACTACCTGCATATATGATGATGTTCCTATCAGATTAGAATACCAAATTTTTACTGTACATTTTCTATGTGCAGATATGTTTAGACACACAAATACTTGCATTGTGTTATAATTACTTACAGTATTCAGTATACTAACATGCTGTACAGGCTCACAGGTGTATAGTAGACTATATTATCAAGGTTTGTGTAAGTACACTCTATAATGTTTGCATAAAAATGAGACTGTCTAACAATGCATGTCTTAGAATGTATACCTGTCATTAAGTGACATATAACTGTGTACATGTGCATATATTTATTTATTTATATCTCCACTTTAACTGTAAAGAAACTAGAACAAAGAACAAACAAGTGACTTTTCTAGGCTTCAAGGATACTTCATGGGAGGGCTGAGATTAGAAATATTTAGTGCTCTTTCCATATGCTACCATGTAATTGCCAGTGGAAAGACTGCCAGTAGAAAATGTCCCTGGGCAGCGAGACCTCATCTTTACAATAAATAAAAAAAAAAATCAGCCAGGCGTGGTAGCGCATGCCTGTAATTCCGGCTACTCGGAAAGCTGAGGCGGAAGGATCGCTGGAGCCCAGCAGCCGCGGCTGTGGTGGCCGGAAGCGGCCACTGCACTCCAGTCTGGGCGACCAAGTGAGACTCCAACTCAAAAAAAAAAAAGAAAATGTCAGTTCTAGATGCCAAACATATACAAATAAATTTAGACTATAAATGCAAAGAGAAGAGGATTGGAAAAAAACTAAATCTTTCAGTTACCAATAATTGAGGTTCGCGGTGTTCATCCACAGCTGGAAGTCCAGTTATTATTTCTAGTAAAACCTATGGAAACAGAAAAAAACCATTAATATAATACATGAGACAACACATAGAAATTAGAAGGAATATGGATCTTAATTATGAAATGTGACTAATCATTTCCATACAAGGCATATATTTCTGTTAGGTACTAAAGCAGAAGGAACATGAGCTCTGGGTATTTCTCACCACCTTTCCCTCAGGGATACCTTGGACCACACCATACTCATAAGCAGTTCTTTTGTAGTAGCAACTTACTAAAGAATCAGCAATACACACGTGTTCTAGGGATTGCCAATCCTTTTCCTGCAAGGCAGGAAAATAAAAATAATTTTCTCTGGGTCTAGGAGAATATTATTTTCTAAATAATAGGCATATTCTACAACTCTGTGCCTCAACGTCACAGTGCTAAGAAGTTAAATTTTCACATGTGAAACAGGAATGAAAAAATAAGATGAAAAAAAGTCCCCAGTTTCTCTAACCACCTACACCTATCCCTTACTCTGTCTTAAAAGTTATTGGGAACAGATTGGTAGATTAGAAAATGCTAAAAACATGTGAGATCTACTGCATGACATGACTCAAGGCATTAGGTGTCATGCTAATTCATAAGTAGAGATGACAAGAAAATTAATTTTTTGCAGTAATTTTAAAAATCAACTCAAAAGTTTTACACATTAGGAGATATTTTTATAAACTTTGTGGTGCAACCAGAGGTTAATGTGAACATTTCACATCATTACATAAGAAAACTAATCAAAACCAGTGTATTAAATAATATTCCATTTCAATTTCAAAGTTATAACAGAATGATTATTGTTGCTAATTATGTACACAGAACTTACCACACCAAAGCTGTAAATGTCAGATTTGGATGTTATTTCTCCTCGCAAAGCTTCAGGCGCCATGTAAGCTGTTGTTCCCACAATTCTGCTAGTCATGACTGTCTGGGAAAACTTTTCAGAAGCCCGTGCAAGCCCAAAGTCAGATATTTTGGCAGTAAAGGCTTCATCCAATAAGATATTTGCACTGAAAAAATGTAAAGTTTGAAAAAATGTTTTCTTTTTCACCAAGGAAGCCAAACGGTATGCATGTATGTAAATATGCATACATGTATGTACACATATGTTTACAAAGTATACAATTTTATAGTATGCATCATAAAAGCCTGAAATTTATGGAAATAAATCTAGAACTCAGATTACAGTTAAAGAGAAATGATTGCCTTCTTTTTGTTTCTTTCTTTTTTTTTTTTTTGAGTTGGAGTCTCACTCTATCGCCCAGCCTGGAGTACAGTGGCACGCTCACAGCCACCCCAGCATCGACCTGCTGGGCTCCGGCGATTCTTCCACCTCAGCCTTCCAAGTAGCCGGAACTACAGGCGTGCACTACCATGCCCAGCTAATTTTTGATTTATTGTAGAGATGAGGTCTCACCAAGTTGCCTGGGCTGGTCTCGAACTGAGGGCTCAAGCAATCCACTCGCCTCGGCCTCCCAAAGTGCTGGGATTACAGGCTGAGCCACCAAGCCTGGCCTTCTTTTTGTTTCTTAAGAAAAAATTTTAGGAAAATAAAAATGAAATACAACAGACTACACTAGTAGTTTCATTATTCTACAAATTTATTAGAAGGTAACATCCTACAAAATCTTTCAAAACACCTTTATTCATTCCTTTCTTAACATTTCTCAATTCACTTAAAAACAAATTTCCAACCAAAATCTGTTATTTATTTCTTTATTTTCTTTACCATCTGAAATCTTTTGAAGAGAAAATAATATGACTAAAAGACTTCCAGTCATTATATGCATTCATTTATAGATTCATACTTTCATTAAACAAAACCTTATTGAGAATTCCCTTTGTTTTATAGTATTTAAGCTCACGGGGGAATATTAAAATCATGTCTGTGAAAAGGTATATAAATAATTTTTTAAAAACACAGTGGTAATATTAGGTACAAAATGCTGAGAGAATCACTATGTATGTGCCTGGAAGAACTGGGAAAAATTCCAAAGAAAAAGTGAAAACTGAAGAAAAGAAATGAAGAAAAGAAAGGCCTTTCAAGCAAATAGAGTAACAGACATATTGATTAAAAACATGAAAGTATATCTGATAGGTTTCAAGAAACTAGTATCCACAGAACATGTAAATAATTTGAACTTTATCTTGTGAGCAACTGTATACCTGCTAACGTTTTCGTAATAGGAAATGGATGTTATCAGACTTGAATTTTAGGATTATAACCTGGCAGTGTTATAGTGAATAGATGAGAATTGATACAAATTGATGTTAGGTTGACTGGGTAGGTTTATAATAAAGCAAATGAGAGATAATGAAGGCCTAAACAGAGTCACAACAATGGAGATGAATGGGAAGTGCAAACTTTGAGGCTTAGTCAACAAAACTTTGTAATTAGCACGATATAGGGAATGGGAAAGTCTTCAGTTTGGGAGAGAGAATGAACAGTGACTTCATATGATCAGAAAGGAAATACAAGAAGACTTTGGGTTTGAAGAGATGATGAGTTTGATTTCTGACTTGTTGACTTAGAGGCTTCTGTGGGACATCTAGATGAAGTGTTTGGTACGGAGATCCTGAAAATACAGAACTGGAAGCTGATAATATAGATTTGAGAGTCACCCACAAACATGATAGTAGATGAAGTCAGCATGAAATCACTCAGCGAGAACATGTAGGGAGAATGGAAGAGACAATGAAGTAAGAACACTAGAGAATACCGACACATAAGGGATAGAAGGGGGTGTCTCTTCTTATCTAAGGTCAGTCCGTCTGCTTGGCCTGCTTCCTATATTCTCAGGAACCTTACTCTATACACTACCTCACTTCTTGGTTCTATTGCATCTTCTTCCACTTATCTGCATCCTTCTCATAAGTACATAAGCATGCTGTAGTCTCTGCTATCTTAAAAAATGTTTCCTGAATGACATACCTGTTCCTAGCTATCACTACTCCCTAGTAAAATATCTTTAAAGACTTGTCTATACTCATATCTCAATTCTTTAGCTCCCACTCTCTCCTCAACTACTACCTGACTTCCAACCCAATTACTGCACAAAATAGATCTTCATACAGTCACTGATGACCTTTGTGATGTTAACCTGATGATTAAAGTACTTTACTCTTTTGACTACTCCCTCTTATGAAACACTTTCCTTATTCTCAGGGATGCCACACTCTCCTGGTTTTCATCTTATCTTTTTGTGTATGTTTTCTTAGATTTTTCTTGGTGGGGGCATCCTTCTCTTCTACCTGGTCATCAAGTCTTAGGGTTCCTCAGGACTTAATCTTGGGACCTTTTTGTAATCTGCATTTCTCCTTATGTGAATGCAGTCATTTTAATTATCACCTGTAGGCAAGTAGTATATACATTTACATCTTCAGCTCACCTACGTTTAGATCCATATCTCAGTATTATAGTCTGTTTAATGTCTCTACCTCCATATCTTAAAAGAACCTCAAATACAACATGTAAAAAAGAGAACTCACATTTTCAGTCACTCTTCTAATGCCAGCCAAACCTGGTTGTCTTTCAATTCATTCTATATAAAGGAATCATGCCACAATCATTCCAGAATACAAGTCTGGATACAGTAATTCCAGGAGTTATTTCAGATACTTCTGTCTCCCTGGTTCCTTCTAAGCAGGTCTTGCCATTGTAATCTCTCAAATCTACTCACCTCTCTTCATATGAACTGCCACCACCAAGACTTCTATGATAGCCTACTAACTACTTCTTCCTACAAACTGTCCTCTACATTGGAGTCAAAACTATCTTTGCAAAACTTAAACATGATGCCACATTCCTACTTAAAATTTTCAACAGAACCCGCTTACACCTATGATAAAACTAAAGACCTTACCTTGGTCTATTAGGACCTACAAGACTTCGCTCCATGCCCATCTCCATAGTTTTATCTCCCATCTATCAGCCTTTCACTTTTGGTACATCAATCAAACTGCATACATTTCTTGTAATTTATTATCCTGTAATATTTCCTTTTACAATTGGTCTTACAAATGCAGTTCCTTCTGCCTAGAATGTTTTTCTCCCTATCTTCTATAGCTGTCTTCAAATTGTGTCTAATTATTGTCTGCTCATTCTTTGGATTGCTGTGGAAATTTCATTTTCTTGGGAACCCCTCTTTATATTATTCCTATATACTACACTATACACTAACATTCTATTATTATTATTATTATTATATTTTTTATTATTTTGTGATTATTTGATTGATATTAAGCTCTGTATATGATACTTTTGCTAACTCTGTCATCTACAGTGCCTAGCATATAGTAGGCAAATATTTAACTAGATAAATACACAAGAAGGCAGAGTATTGAAAAGTACTCGGGGAGGATGAAGGTGATTCAGAAAAGAGTGGTGATCCAGAAACAAAGAAAAAACTAGTCTTTACAAGGCAAAAAGTGGTCAGAAAAAACAGAATAACATGTTATTAAAGCAAAATAAAACAATGGTCAGGTAGAATGAGTACTGAAAATAGGCCACTGGGTTTGGAAAAAAGGAGATGATAGATGACCTTAGTGAGAAGAGTTTTCATGGAGTGATGGGGAAAGAAGTCCAGATGCCCTAGGTTAAGACATGCATGTGAATAGTGAATAGAAAGAGTGACAGCAGGCCAGGAGCTGTGGCTCATACCTGCAATCACAGTACTTTGGGAAGCCAAGAAGGAAGGATTGCGAGGAGCTCAAGACCATCCTGGGCCACACAACAAGTCACCATGTCTATTATTTTATAATACATTTTTTAAAAAAAGAAAAAAAAAGAATGACAGCAAATTATTCTTTAAAGATGGCTTTCTGAAAGCATTTTAACAGTAGCATTTACCTTTTAATATCTCTATGAATATGGTGGTTCTCATGTAGAAAATTGATGCCATTAGCTGCACCTTGAGCAATCTTGCATCTCATGTGCCAAGAAAGTGGTGGAGTACCATCCTTAAGAAGAAATAAACCAATTTTTTTAAAAAAAGATAAAATCTATAGAAAATTATGACAGAATATTTTTCTAGGCAACAATGAAGATGATATTATAGCACTAAGAGTTAGAACTACTTTTCAAAATTGTTAAAAAATAAATAAGATCAAATGACTGTTATCATTTCTTATTTGAAGATAAAAGTATATAAAAGCATCTTCATAGTCTAGCCTTGACTGTTAATTTTACATTTTAGATGGTCACTTAAGAGAGTAACAATCACAACTGTTTCTATATCAACTGTACAATTTTCATAGAGCAGGAAAATATTAAGTTTAATGTGGTTTAAACGATCTAGCCACAAAGTAAACATTAGTATTCCAATAAATAAACAGAAAGTCAAACAACCTGATGAATAAACATCTTACCGAGCAAGACAGTCTGTCTAGCAATGAACCATTGGGCATGTAAACATATACTAAGCAGAGGTCATCTCCATCACTCGAGAAACCAAGTAGTTCTACTAAGTTTTCATGTTGACACCTGTGATAAATAAATAATTTTCCAAGCAAAATTATCATAACAAGTATTGGCATATTCAGCTTTAAGTTGGAAGTTATTCTATTTAAAATGTTAATATAAAAGAGAGCAAGAAAACAGTTTGTTACATATTAGTTGTCATATGTTTATATGTGTATATTACAACTGTTTATAATATTCTGTGATTCTTTTCAGTCAACATTGATCAACATTAGAAGAAAAACTTCTATTTTATAATAAAAGGTAAATAATTCAGATTTTTAAAATTTGTAATAGTTTGACTAAGTACTAGGATTATGTTTAACCCAATTTTTTATGATGGCATAAACAAGATCTCAAGATGTCTGTTGAAACTTTTATGCTAATACTTTCAAGAATCTCTAGCACTCAAAGCACTGACTTACAGATAGGATCTTTATTCACATCTAATTTATACATTTCCAATATTTAATCACATCAAATTATTAATAACTTAATTTGAGTTTATATATGTGAGAGTATTAAAGCTAAAGAGACTTGTACTATACAAAGCTATAGTCATCTGTGATACAGCAGAAAGAAAGCAGGGCTCAGAGTTCAAAGTCCTAAGTTTAAAGTCTAGCTCTGCCACCTCCTGGATATGCAACCTATGACAGGTTAATACTTCCGTGAGCCTCAGCTCCTTTTTCTGCTAAATGAAGAAAATAGTACCTTTTATGTACTATGAATGCTGAGAGAATTAAAGGAGAAAATATGTATGTGAGAACCTGGAAACATACCTGGCACATGGTAAGTGTTTTATTCAAGTGTTTATTCATTTTGTTCATTCAAAGTGATCCACAATTCTAGCATTTCATTATATCAAATCAGAGTTCTTCTACCCTCACAAAGATTTTAAGAAGTGCACATGAAAGCAATAAGTGTTCCATTTTCTACCAAACTGACAAATTTTAAACACGAATCGTTAACATTTGCTGAATTTATACTGTAAGTTAATGAAGCATTATTATCCCATTTTATAAATGAGAAAACTAATGAATACAGAGTTAAGACTTGGCCAAGAGATTGGCACTTATTAAAAACTAGTAACAGTATTCAGTGGTAGCAAAGAAATCTGAAAAATCAGTGAAATCTGAAATTGTAATACACTGTTGGTAGAAATATAAATTACCGTAACTTATCTATAAAGCTATTTGAACATATATTTAGAAAGTCTTTAAAAAGTTCTTTTATTCCTACCTACATTCCTACCTAGAAATTCTTCTTCTAGAACTTTATCTTTGTAAAACATTTTTATTGTAGAGTTGTTGGGGTTCACATGAGGATTTGCTACAAAAGTAAATTGCATGCGGGTGAGGTTTGGGCTTCTAGCAAGCCCTCTCTCCTCCCAGTAGTGGACATGATATACAATGTTGTGCCTTTTATGCCCACTACTTCCCTCCTCCTGCAAATAGTGCCAGTGTCAGTTGTTCCTGCCTTTGTGCAGAAATTTATATTAATGAAATAAGTAGAAATGCATTTAAAGATTTATGTACAAAGAGATTTAAAGAAGCTTTAATTTGTAATATTGAAAATTAGTGACAAATCTAGTAGAGTAATGGATAAATAAAATATGATTCTCACATATGCTAGGATGTTGTACAATAATTTAAAATGCTTTCAAATCATTTTTAATGACATGGGGAAAATGGGACACATATCATGAAACAAGTACGTAAATATATTAGCAGTGGTTATCTCTGAGTGATATATTTGAGAGATGGTTTTCATTATTTAATAATATTTTCCTGTATTTCTCAGATTATCTACTTTAATAAGTTATTTTTATGATTAAAGAGTTGGGGTAGGAGTGGGGAAGATAAATTCTAAAAAAAAGTTTTGATTTTTTTTTTTGAATTGGAGTCTCACTCTGTCGCCCAGACTGGAGTGCAGTGGCCGCTCCCGGCCACCGCAGCCTCGCCTGCTGGGCTCCGGCGATCCTTCCGCCTCAGCCTTCCGAGTAGCTGGAATTACAGGCATGCGTTACCACGCCCGGCTGATTTTTTTTTTTTTTATTGTAGAGATGAGGTCTCGCCTGCCCAGGCGGGTCTCAAACCCGCGGGCTCAGGCCATCCACTCACCTCAGCCTCCCAAAGGCGCGGGATTACAGGCTGAGCCACCGAGCCCGGCTAAGTTTTGATTTTTTAACAGTGTATATTATTTTTACTGTGCTGAATCAATTCCAGTCTATTAACTTTTTCTTGAGGTTAAATAACTAGAATTGAGGTTTTATCGCAGTAGGTCTGATGGGTATAATTTTTTTTTTTTTTTTCCTGAGTTGGAGTCTTACTCGGCTGCCCAGACTGGAGTGCAGTGGCTGCTGCCAGCCACTGCAACCTCGCCTGCTGGGCTTCTGGGATCCTTCCGCCTCAGCCTTCTGAGTAGCCGGAATTACAGGCATGCGCTACCACACCTGGCTGATTTTTTGATTTTTATTGTAGAGATGAGGTCTCGCTGCCCAGGTGGATCTCGAACCCATGGGCTCAGGCAATCCACTCACCTCAGCCTCCCAAAGGCGCGGGATTACAGGCTGAGCCACCGAGCCCGGCAGATGGGTATTTTTTGGTAAGTCCCTTCAGAATTCAGACCAAAAGCTCAAGTCCTGTAATCAGACAGATCTGCATTTCAATCTCATTTCTGATACTTACTGGTTATAACCTTGAACAAGTTTCTAAAGTTTTAATGTTTCTAAATCTCAGTTAAAGAAATAGACAGGGGACGGTTTTAACAGTTGTTGTGAGGGTTAAATGCAACGATGACGATAAAGTACTTAACACAGTGCTTGGCATACCACACACTCTCAGATGTCAATCACTATGATTATCAAAATGAATTTCTGGACCTGTTCCTCCTACTCTTTCCAATGATGCTGACAATTTCCCAACATACTGGGTCAATACCTTCTAAGCATCCTTGTATATAACACTTTCCTAGTTCCTTTACAGGTGTTAACTTATACCTAAGGGCCTATTATTTTTTAAACAGTTTTTTAAAAAGTATTGCTACAATTGATCTCTCATGAATTCTGGTAGCACAAAACATAATAATGGAAGACAGTTGAAATTCCATGTAACTGTTGTGATCTTAAAATACTGACAGCTGTTTAATCAATGGGCATATTAGTATATGTAGTCATAGAACTGTAGAGCCAAAAGTATTTTTAATTTCTCCAATCTAAATCTTTTATTTTAATTTCATATATTTGTAGATATCACTAGTTCACAGCATACTCTGGGTAAGAAATCAGATTCCTTATTCCTTGTCTTGTTATTTTTCACTATACCACACTGACAAATTAACACTTACTTTGCCATTACTTTTATTTCTTGATCAAATTGTTGTTTCAGTTCTTCAGTACTAATGTCAACCATCTGAAAAAATAAAATAATATACAATATAATACACTACAATAACTCCAAGGCTCTTAAAGCTGGAAGGGGGCTCAGGAGATCAATGGGGTAATCTACCTTTCTTAAGAACAATAAGGTATTATTCTTCCCAGTACAAAGAACAACTGAGATCTAGAAATACTATTGATTTGCTCAAGGTCCATGGCTGGTTAGTGAAATGAAAAAAAGAAATAAATCTCACTGAATTACTGTAGGAACAAAATGAAATAATATGAAACTTCACTGCATAAAAATTCTGAAAAAATATCCTGTGAGACAGAAAATAAGCAAATTTGAATGTAAAAAGAAAATCAAAGCCTGTACAAGCATTTGCAACATATATGACAAGGAGTGATTGATATTTTTAGTATAGAACAGGTTTAGAATACAACAAATAAATAAGTAAAAGGTAAACACCTCAATAGAAATGGGAACAAAAAGGACACAGATAAGAAATTTTTCAATCTTTTTTTCTTAACACATATTTCCCAAACTTTATATTTAAATGGGAAAAGTAACATAAACTAAGTTATTTGTACAAAAATTTCCTCATATCTTACCATTTAAATTCTGACTACACATGAAGCACTGTGTAGAGCAGGGATTCTCAATTCTATTTTGTGAATCTCCCACAATTATATGTATGATCATATGTATGTGTGCATAACTACTTTCTTCTGGGGACAGGGTTCATAGCTTTCAACAGAACTACCATTCTGGAATGGTGTCTACTTAAAGAATATACATACTGAAATAATATATTTCCTAAAGATTAACTTCAAGTCTATTATACAGTACACTAGAAAGCAACTCTTTCTTTTATTCTTTTTATTCCCCCAAACATCATATATAACTTACTGCTGCAAGCTTCTTCACTGCCACAGTTCTGTTGTTCACGTAGCCTTTATACACAACTCCAAATCCTCCCTCTCCCATTTTATTACCACCAACAGAAATGGGTCTTTCATCAAAGTTATTTGTGATGCTCTTCAATTCATAAAAAGAAAAACTGTGAAAACCTATAATGTCAGAAAAATAAAAAGGTGCTTAAATAAGAAAGAAATTGGTTTTAATAACTCTAATATTTTCTCATTTGAAGATTTCACATGCATGCAAATATTTATAATATTTGCAAATTTTTAAATATTTGTAAATATTTATAAACAGGCAAGAAAGAAGAGGGTTTTACCATTTTGAAAATACAAATCTGAAGCTTTATCTTGAGAGGTGTTTGGCAATTCAGCCCACCAAATACTGTAGTCACCCACCCAAAATTCTATTTACATATTTGGGTGGGTGTAGTCTACCCATTCAAAACTCTAGCAACATATTTTCTTTTTAAAAAGTGACCCTTTCAAGTTATGTAAATATTTACTTATTTTTTTCATTGCTTCTCTGGTTGTTTGCATTTCTAATTGCTTCTGATCACTGAAAATACTGATTTATACAATGGAGATGGTACTTAAATCAAGAGATAGAAAGCCCACAAAAGAACTATTTCTAGTGTGCCTGTGCCTCTGATTGCTGTACAAACAAAAGAAGGTGTTATTTGAAAGTAGTGACAGAGCCGGGCTCGGTGTCTCAGCCTGTAATCCCGCGCCTTTGGGAGGCTGAGGTGAGTGGATTGCCTGAGCCCGCGGGTTTGAGACCTGCCTGGGCAGGCGAGACCTCATCTCTACAATAAATAAAAAAAATTAGCCAGGCGTAGTAGTGGGCGCCTGTAGTTCCAGCTACTTGGAAGGCTGAGGCGGAAGGATGACCGGAGCCCAGCAGGTCGAGGCTGCGATGGCCGGGAGCGGCCACTGCACTCCAGTCTGGGTGACAGTGAGATTCCAACTAAAAAAGAAAAAGAAAGAAAAAAAAAAGAAAGTAGTGACAGTCTTAACAAATCCACTAGTAGAGAGTACTAAAAAAGTTACTTACGTGTATCACTAACTTCTAAACTTTTATTATCTGAACTTGAAGAATCAGGTGGCGTATAGTTCTGTTCAAGATTCTGCATAGGTGTCACAGATGTCCTATCTTTGCCGCATAAAGATATCTGTTTCTGCTGAACTGTTACAGCTTCTTTAGAAGGCAGAGTATTAGCAATTTTGGGAACAGCATCTGCCAAATGAAGTAAGGTACAAGTTGTTCTTCTATAAGAAAAAAGTGTTTGTGAAAAAGTCACACTAGAAACTTGGTTCGTTTCACATTATTCCCATTTCTACAGGTCAGTCCCATATTCTCACAGCACACACTAGAAACTACCTAGTAAGAATATGTAAGCTGTGATAAACACGGGTAGAGAGAGTAAGGCAGTGCTTTCAGCAGTGGTCTGTGAGTCACCTATATCAGAGGCACTGAAGCATTTATGCAAGAGCACAGATCTTGTACCCAATTCCAGAATTCTGATTAAGTGGTCTGGAATAGAGTCCAAGAATCTACATGTTTAACAAGAACTCAGGTGACTCTTATGCATAGTAAAGGTTGAGAACCACTGGTGTAGATGGTATCAAAGGGAAAACAGTAAGGTTATAAGGACAGCAACCAGACACTACTACACTAGGATACAATTTTAAAAGATAATGATCATAGAGTTCCATCAGAATGGAAGTTGAAGGTTTAAAAAAGGCAAGAACTCAATAGAATAATTACTTTCTTATAGCTTAAGCTAGATTTCTAAAGACTATATCCTGCTCAACTTCCTACTGGCACAAAACTAATATTAGGATCAAATTCAATCATGAAGCTTCCATCACCTCAGCAGCAGTCCATAGTGTCCTATGTCTGGTTATTATTATTATTTTTTAAAGAGTTGAGGAGAGCTGAAAGAATAAAAGGAACTCTCAAATTTAAGGTTCATCTACTATAAGAAAAAAGTAAGAGTAAGAAGAAATGTTTCTATTTCTGCTGTTTGTTTTTCCACCCTAATTGTGGACACCCTGGCAACACTCAGTTTACCTGGGAGCAAAAGACTCGCAGGAGCAAACAACTCATTTTGGACCAAAAGATCCACAAGATCACCAACTGTACAATTTGTGGTGCCCCAGTCAAATAGTAATTCAGAAGTGGGACTTTTTCCAGTTTGAAGTAATGCTTCGAATCTCCTTAAAAGCAAGTCACAGAGAAACATAATTAGTCGATTGTCTTAGTCTGTTTTTGCTGCTAGAACAGAATACCACAGACTGAGTAATTTATAAACAATCAACATTTATTTGGCTCACGGTTCTGGAATTCCAAGTTCGAGGAGTTGTATCTGGTAAGGGCCTTCTTGCTGCATCATTCCATGGTGGAAGGGTGGAAGGGCAAAAGAGCACACGAATGAGAGAACGAGAGCGAGAGAGAGACAGAGGAAGGGAGCCAAACCCATCCTTTTATCAAGAACCTGCTCCCAAGATAACTAACCCATTCACATCATAACATTAATCCATTCATAAGGATATAGCCCTCATGATCTAATCACCTCTTAAAGAAACCACCTCTCAACACTGTTGCAGTAGAAATTAAATTCCCAACAAATGAACTTCGGGGGACACATTCAAATCACAGCATTTATACACTGAGTTCATATTAAAATAGGAATTGATTCCTCCCTCTACCCTTGTCTTGCCAATAGCACCTCCTATTTAAGGAAAGTAACAGTAAGTGAACCAGTAGGAATTACAGAGACAGAAAGGGTAGGCAGAATGAGAAAAAATGCCAAAGATGATGATGATAAAAGTTAAGAATTACTGGGTACTTACTGAGCATTTACTCAGTGTGCTGTTGGAGGCACACATATGAGCTCATTTAAAGATACTATGATTATCATACTAATTTACTAATGAGAAAACCAGGCTTGGAGAGATAGAGTAACCAGCCCATAGCTACAGTCAATAAATAAGTATCCAAGTTGAGATCCAAATTCAGATTTCACTTGACATAGGGTATGTTCTCAATCTACTAAGATACACTACTTCTTATATGATTTAACTATGCTAGTTTATAACTTTTAATAAACCAGCCTGTTTAATTAAATAGAATATACATAAAATTAAGGAATTATTCCTTTGATCTTAACTGTATTTCAATTAAATTGATGAACAAACACAGAACTAGTTTTCATTCCATTTCTTTAAAATAAAAACTTAGTTTTGAAAAGTAATACTTAAAAACTTAATCAATTAAGCCCCTTTATGTTTTTCTTCTAATGTTTTCGTTTTGAAAAATTTTAAACTTACAGAAAAGTTGAAAAAATAATACAGTGAACAACCACTTACCCTTCACCTAGATTCATCAATTATATACTTGATAATGTTTTGTCACATGGGCATGCTCTCTTTCACTCTGTGGGCATTTCAGAGTATAGGCCAGATGTCGTGTAGAATGTCTCATACTCTAGATTTGTCTAACTAGTTTCTCATGATTAAATTCAAATTAAAATCTTTGGTAAGAACACTTCATACATGGTAATATGCTCTTCCCACTGTCTCATGTCCAGAGGTACAGAATGGCATTTTGAACCATTACTAGTGATGCTAAAGTTTAATCACCTGGTTAGGGTGGCACACCAGATTTCTTCATTATAGAAGTACCTTTCTCCTTCTTTTCAGAATTCATAGATAATTGGTGGATAATACTTTAAAATCTTGTGCATATCTTGTTCATCAACAGTATTTCACCTTATGCTTTTAGGCTCACTGATGAATCTTGGGTGAATAATTATTCATTGGGGTTACAAATCAGTAACTTTCTAACTTTCTTTTAATGATTATTTTCTGGCACAGTTTTGTAAAAAAGATCTTTTTCTTCTCACCACCCCTGTCCCAATTACCCTCCAAGTTTTAACAGTAATATCAACAAACTATCTTTCTAAGTTGGCTTACAAGGTTTAAATGTAAGCTTCTTCCAAATGATTTAATATGTTCACCCTTCATATGAGGAAACATTCACTGGAAGGACTAACATGAAAGACAAAGCCAATAAGAAAGACAAGAGTTCCTTATCAGGTTAAAGCTGAAAATCATACAAATAGATTTATTTTCCTCTTACTACCACAGACAAATTTTGACATAAGGTTTAACTGCAATGACTGACAAAAATAAAATCTGCACTGAGATTTTACACTAAATCAAACAGAGATGAGTAAAGGGGAAAATGGAAATTATCTGAAGATAGCACTGAAAAATTCTGCTGAAATTATCTGAAGATAGCACTGAAAAATCCACTGAAAATTCAGTGCTGAAGATAGCACTGAAAAATCCTGCTATCTGAAGATAGCACTGAAAAATCTTAAGATCTAAGAATTCTGTAAATAGATGCACACACTTTATAAGTAACAACTTTAAAATGGCAATTTGAAAAACTTTCAGAATACATTGTTAGAGTGCATCAAAGATTCACACACTTTGAAGTTTAGCCTTCAGATTTTTAGTAGAGATTTTTACAACATTTTTATATTCCTTCAACATGGAAATAAGAAGGGTGAGGCAGAGTGAACTATACTTGGTTTGCCAAACAGAGAACCAGAGCAAAGGTAGGAATCTTGATTCTAACCCCAAATCATATTTGCAAGATAACCATATTAGCCCAGCTGACATATTGGAGAATGAAGAAAAAATTACAAAAACAACAAAAAAACAGGTTACTTATTATCATCATCTCCTCCACAATCAAAGGTTCACTTTCTAAACAGTAACATTAGGCAATACTTATACCTATTAATCATTCCAGATTGTGATGTAAGAATTTAAAATGAAAAATAATTTTTTATATGTTACCTTATGTGAAACTGATTGTATCTATCATCACCAGATGGTTTTTTAATAGCGACAGCTAACTTCTTCCATCCTTCTTGAGGATCAATAAAATCTGACAGTTTCCTAATTAGTCCAACATTGAGGCTGCGCACATATGTTGATGGTGTTATAGGTTTGTTCATCTTCTATTCCTAAAATATGGAAATTTCTCATTAAAATTTTACAGTAGTTTTAGAGATGACATCTGTAAGCTTATAAATCATACTTTACAATATCATATGAAATGTTGGCAACTGATTATACATAATAAAGGAACAAGTCAAGTTGTTGATATTCTAAGAAGAAGCTAAAATCGTAATTATTTCTCCAACTGTACTCTGGATTTGCTATCTTTTCCCATCTATAAATATCAATAAAAATTGGGGGACTTTTTTCTGACATTGATATTCCAAGTGAAATTTACACAAAGGAGCAAAAAGTTTACTTTACAGAAAAATTTCTGTGAACACATTCAGAAATCAAATTAATTTAAAAACTTTTAGTCGGGCTCGGTGGCTCAGCCTGTAATCCCGCGCCTTTGGGAGGCTGAGGTGAGTGGATTGCCTGAGCCCGCGGGTCCGG